CGTCCCCCAGGCCCCAATTCCCCACCCCAAACCCACAATCCCCGTCCCCCAGGCCCCAATTCCCCACCCCAAACCCACAATCCCCGTCCCCCAGTCCCTCCTGCCCTTCCCTGTCCCCATGTCCCCAGTCCTGTCCCTCCCTGGTCCCGTCCCCACCTCCCCAGTCCCAAATTCCCAACTCGGATCACCCCGTACCTGTCCCGGCTCCTCTCCCTCTCCCTCCACACCTCCAGGTTCTGGGGGCGCCGCCGGGACACGGGGACCACCCTGAGGGTGGAGGGGGGATCAGCAGAGACCCCCCAACCTCCCACCTGAACCCCCAAACCTTCCCTGAACCCCCCGACCCCCCCGGCCCCCTCACCTGCCACTCTCGGGGGTGTCACCTCTCGGGGTCCGGCCCTGCTGCTCCTGGGGGGGCACAAGGGAGGGCCCTGGGGTTCAGGGGGGGCCCAAGGTTTGGGACTGAACCCCAAAATTTCAGAGGGGGGGCAAAGGGGGGTTGGGGGACGTCACCTTGGGCGGGGGCTCCTCCTCGACCAGCTCTGGGTCGCTGTCACCAGCTGTGGGGACAAGGCGGGTCACAGGCGGTCCCTGGGGGGGGTGACACTGCCCCGGGGGGGTGACGGGGGGTCCCCGAGGGTCCCCACCCCCCTCACCTGCCCTGCTGCGACTCTCCCTGAGCTGGTGGGGCGGCTCCGAAAACTCATCCGTGGACTGAAACGGTGGAGAAGGGGATGCCAGGGGATGGGGGGGTTGGCCTGGGGAACACCCCAAACTCCCCCTGGGCCCCCCCGAGGCCCCAAACGCCCCCGGAGCCCCCCCAGGTCCCACCTCGTTCCCTGACCAGCGTTTGCTGCCGCTGTCGACGCTGTGGAAGCCGGAGTCGAGCCCTCCCCGCTGCCGGAGGGGGCACAGCTCGTCCGGGGGGCTGTGGGGGGCAAACAGGGCTGGGAGACCCCAAAAACCAGCGGGGGGGGTGGTTAACGGGGTCCCCCCTCTTTGAGCCCCTCCTTACCACGCCGGGGGAGGGTGGGCGGCGGCCTCGGCCTCCAAGTGCAGGTACTTGAAGATGTGAACTTTGCCCTTCAGGCAAACCTAGGGCGGGAGCAGGGGTCAGGTGGGGGCTTGGGGGGCTCCGGGGGATCCCCCTGGGCGCCCCCCTCACCTGGGCGGGGGGGAACTGCAGGGGGTTGTTGTCGGCCAGGAGGGTCTGGAGGTGCCGGAGCCTCCGGAAGCAGCGAGGAATCGCGACCACCCGGTTACAGGAGAAATCCAGGCGGACCAGGGGCAGCTCTGAGAGCTCTGGGGGGGGGTAAATAATAAACACGGGATCAAGGAGGGCTCCTCAGGGAGGGGGGACCCCCCCGAGCCCCCCACCCACCCGGGGGCAGCGCCGTGAGCTGGTTCCGCCGGAGGTTGAGGTCCCGCAGCGCCCGCAGCTGCCCCAGCCCGGGGGGCAGCGCCCGCAGCCGGTTACACCCGACGTCCTGCGGGGAAAGGGGGGTCAGGCCCGGCCCGGGGAGGTCCCCAGGGGGTTCCCCCCCTCCCTCCATCGCTCACCAGCTGCCGCAGCGTCCGCAGGGCCCCCAGGTTCGGGGGCAGCTGCGCCAGGCGGTTGTTGCTGGCGTTGAGGACGCGCAGGGGCAGGAGGCACAGGCAGGAGGGCAGCGAGCTCAGCTGGTTCCGGCTGGGGGGAGACACCGGGGGGGTCACGGGGGGCTGTCGGGTCCCAAATACTCCCCAGCGGATGGGTCGTACCTGAGGTCCAGGTGGGACAGGGCCTGGAGGTTGGCGATGGCCGGGGGGACGCTGCGCAGGCAGTTGTGGTACAGGCTGAGCCCCTCCAGGGAGAAGAGGTGACAGGCGGCCTCGGGGATCTCCCCGAAACGGTTCCGGGACAGGTCTGGGGGGACACGGGGAGAACAGGGATGGGGAGCCCCGAGGGGGGGGGGACAAGGAACCGAGAGACTCAGGCATGGGGGATCCCAGGGATGGGGACCAAGAGGGCCAGAGATCCCCAGGGAGAGGGACAGGGAACCCTAGGGAAGGGGACTGATCTGGACAGAGCTCCCCAGGGCCAAGGACAGGTGACAGGGAACCCCAGGAATGGGGACTGATGAGGACAAGGATCCCCAGGGAGGGGGACAGGTGACAGGGGATCCCCACGGATCTGATGTGGACAGAGATCCCCAGGGACAAGGACAGGGATCCCCGGGTTCTTCGGTGCCGATGTCACCTCCATCCCTTCCCTTGATCAAGGGTCCCCCCAGGGCCGGTTTCCCCCCAGGCTGGGAGGGGGAAGCCGAGGCCGCCGGACCGCCCGGACCAGGCGCTCCGGCTCGTCCCGTCCCCTCCCGGCTCCTCCTCATCCGCCCCCGGCACCTCCCGCGGGCCTCGGGTTCCGGGAGGCGCCTCGGGACGGGCACCCACAGCCCCCCCGAGTGACCCCGCGCAGGGAAGCGCCGGGGGTTCCTCACCGGCCTGCGTGGTGTCGCTCAGGTCCCAGCGCCGCGCGGCCGCCGCGGGAAAGGCGCGGAGCCTCCGCCCGGCCAGGCTGAGGGTGCCGGAGGCCGCCGCTTCCTCCAGGGCGCGCTCGGTGCCGCCTCCGCCGGGCGGGCGGCCCAGGAGCGGCGGCGGCAGCGCAGCCGTGGCGGCCCCCGCGGCCATGGTGGGCGCGGAGCTCCGCTCGCCGCGGCCGCCGCCGCCCGACTGAGCGCCGGACGCTTCCGGGGCCCCGCCGCGGGGGGGCGGGGCCGGCGCCGCAGCCAATCGGAGCGCGGGGCGCGCGGAGAGGTGGCCAATCGGAGAGGGCGAGGGCAGGGCGCTTTGATGGAGAGAGGGAAGAACCAATCGCAGCGCGGAGACTAGAGAGAGTACCAGATCTCCACCAATCGCGAGGGACATGGCGGAGCTCGTTGCCCGGCAACGTCCCACCCAGATGTTTATGCGGAGTTAGCCAATGGCGTTCTAGAAGGCAGGGACAAGGCACGTGATTGACATGTCACCAACCAATCCGGTTTTCAGTAATTAAAGTCCGGTAAGGGGGCGGGGCATGACGGCTTCACCAATCACAGCTGGCAGGCGCGATAATTGACAGGCCACCTGACCCGTGGGGGAGACAAGGGGGAGGAACCCACGGCAGCCAATCAGAAGACACGTCCCGCAAGAGAAGGCCGCGCCCCTCCCACAAGCCCCGCCCCCTGCTCTTAAAGGAGCCGCGTCCCGGGATTTAAGGGGGGGGGGGGAACGGGCTCCCCCTTCCCCCGGGGCTCCCCCACGGTGGGAGGGGTCCGTCTGTGCCCCCCCGCCCCCATCACTCGCACGCTCCAGCTCTGCACCCTTTATTTGCATATGTGTGAGGGGGGGCGTTCCCCAGTTTCGGGGGGTCGAGGCGGGGGGGCTCAGGGGCTCCCCCGACACGGCCTCTTGCTGAGGTTCCCCAGGACCTGCTGCTGCTGCGGCCGATACGGGACCACGAAGGCGTCGGGGGGCAGCAGGGCCACCCCGTCCCCCCCCAGCCGCCCCATCAGGACGTAGCTGGAGCCTGGAAGAGATTTGGGGGGGAAGGGGGGTGTGTCAGGGGTCTGGGGGGGCAGAGAGAC